GAAGAAATGTCATCTGTTAAAACGTTAGATTTACTTCCTCGTTATATATACATGTCTTACAGTAGTGCAATAGACATTGAGTTGTTTAATTAGATCAGTTACGTATTCACAGTGGTGACTTGCTCCCACTACGTGTGTGTGTGTCTGTGTGTATGTGTGTGTGTGTGTGTGTGTGTGTGTGTGTGTGTGTGTGTGTGTGTGTGTGTGTGTGTGTGTGTGTGTGTGTGTGTGTGTGTGTGTGTGTGTGTGTGTGTGTGTGTGTGTGTGTGTGTGTGTGTGTGTGTGTGTGTGTGTGTGTGTGTGTGTGTGTGTGTGTGTGTGTGTGTGTGTGTGTGTGTGTGTGTGTGTGTGTGTGTGTGTGTGTGTGTGTGTGTGTGTGTGTGTGTGTGTGTGTGTGTGTGTGTGTGTGTGTGTGTGTGTGTGTGTGTGTGTGTGTGTGTGTGTCACTGTGTGCGTGCGCGCATGTTTGTATGTTCGTGCATGCCTGCATATGCGTTTATGTGCATGTGCGCCCATACACCTGTGTCCTGTACTCTGCCTCCATGACAGGTGTACATTGGCACATGGGATGGAGTACCGGTAGCTGTAAAAACACTGCGACCCAACTGTGAACAGCACATCGTCCAAAGCTTCCATCGCGAGGCTTCCATCATGCGGTAAGGCCCAATCCCGAGGCTTGCTTATTTGGCATGTAGCTTTGCCTGGGGATTTCCCCTTGTTGCACCAGATCAGATCCAATACAGCACAGTGCATGCCATGAGGTTTGGTAATCTACTAATCTTGCATCACGACTCATGTCTCAGAGTGTTCACCCTTGAGTGTCACTGTCTGTCTTACCAGAGTGATGGCTTCCTTATGGGCTGGCATGCTTAACCGGGGCGTCACATAGCAGTGAGTAGCGGCGGTACAAGAGGGGAGGGGGGTTGGGGTGTCCCCAGGGCAAAAATTCATTTTCGACCAATAGGGCATGTTTTAGTGCTCTTTCATTGCTCTTTCGGATGAATAGTGCGGACCATGGATGTATCATGGACGAACTGTACTGGTCATACCGTTTGTGCCGTCCCTGCTTACTATATACTGCCAAACCACCATCTTCCCGTTGTTGTGTTTGTCTTTGCAGTCGCCTTCAACACGGCAACATTCTGCCGCTGAGAGCCGTTGCTCTGATGGTGGAGCCTTGCTTTCTTGTGATGGTAGGGAATTGAAGATACCGCACTTACCACTAGCCTAGCAGCCAAAGTCAGTCTAGAATCCTTTTTCTGCACGCAGAATATCTTTCTTCATGTATTGAATCAAATTGATTTGCCGAAACTTGAACCAGGATGGTAACTGCGGAAAAACCTGCCCTACCCGGACGCCCTTGGTGCAGTGGAAACTGTCCTGATATGACAGGATTCCGCTTGATCGATGGATGCGCATTTGATCCACGGCACATTGGTGCATGAAAATTTGTCCGACCAATCCAGGATTTTGCTTTGTACAGGGTCCGGAAAACACAGGTTTTACTGTAGGCATTGTGAAACATTCACCCAAGTTTAGGGTTCACGGATTGGCATGCTAGCGTCGCCAGCTACATCATGCACGTGACAGGCGCGTGCATATACTGTCCCACACAATCGGTCAGTGCTCAAATCGCATTTTCCCATCAATATCACTCACTTTCAACTCTACGGGATTCATTACGGTTGGCTCAAACTGCCTGAATTTTTGAATCCACACGCACGAAAGACGTTCCAAGACTTCCACCGTTCGTATTTTTTCAAACGAGTTCCGGGTTTTCCAGTAACTTTGGCCAAAGTTCGGCTAAAAAAACAGGGGGAGCCGTTGCGTTTCCGTAAAATACTGAACGGTAGAAGGATAGCCAAGGTCGAGAGCAAAACAACAAGCCATTATTTGTCAAAATCGAACAAGAAACGGCTCAGCGCATCTATTTTCCGTGCACGCGCGCGCGTACTTTGGCCGACAAGGCGTGGAGAATTTCTGAAGAAGAAGAATAACAAGAGCAGCAGCGCTCGGAACAGCCGTGCTGGATACTTCCAATCCCGACGATGGAGTCTTTTTCTTTGTATACCCTAGATATCTTGACGTGCCCTAGCTCAGTTTCGGCCTCTTTACAGGAAGAATATTTTCTTCCATGGCATCAGCGGCCAAACAGCAAGAAGAGCAACAGATCGAGATTTGCAGGGCAAACAAAGGATGCGTGCAGCTACATCTAGTCAGGTTCGATGCAGCTGCGCTTTGCCAGAACCTCAGCAGATAAGAAAAGACGACAGAGTGTCTCAGATGGAGCTGGATCTTTCGCCAAGACCGCCACCGCCGCCATCATCAAGTCCAGGTCAGTCAAAAAAATGCAAAGCCCGAGTGAAGTGAAGCCACTGAAGCCAAGGAAAAATTCAAAAAGTACGCTCTCCGGCTAGACTTCGAGTCGATATTAATTTTTTTTACTTCGATAGGCCCTGTCGCGGCCTGTAGCGCGCGTCCATAATCCAAAATGGAGGCGCACGTGACGGGTGCTTTTAGTGGCAAGCCGTGAACCCTAAAGTTAGTCATTGCTATTTTCAACTCTCTGGTAGAACATTATGCCGCTGAAATCTGTGTTTAGAATTGCGTGGTAGATTTCTGCTTGGTGCGGAAGAACTGACACGGTGTGGCTGGTACCCAGAAAAGAGGGTAGCACAGAGATTGCGGCAGTGTAGTAACCGCTTGCTGGCTACATGTGTATTGTGCTGGGCTCCCGTTGATATCATACTCTTGTACATGTAACTCGATTGTTCTTACTGCTCCCAGCTCGGTGCCATCTCCGCACTCAGGCAATTGCCGTTCAGAAAAGACTATTTAACCAGGAGACGACGGAAACACACCTGGACATGATGAAATCAAGACGGTGACTCTTTTCTGCACCGCAACACTCCCCATGCATGCAGCAACAACATGTACACAATACGTACGCAGAATAACGCACTACAACATGGCTGTGAATAACGCACTACAACATGGCTGTGAATAACGCACTACAACATGGCTGTGAATAACGCACTACAACATGGCTGTGAATAACGCACTACAACATGGCTGTGAATAACGCACTACAACATGGCTGTGAATAACGCACTACAACATGGCTGTGAATAACGCACTACAACATGGCTGTGAATAACGCACTACAACATGGCTGTGAATAACGCACTACAACATGGCTGTGAATAACGCACTACAACATGGCTGTGAATAACGCACTACAACATGGCTGTGAATAACGCACTACAACATGGCTGTGAATAACGCACTACAACATGGCTGTGAATAACGCACTACAACATGGCTGTGAATAACGCACTACAACATGGCTGTGAATAACGCACTACAACATGGCTGTGAATAACGCACTACAACATGGCTGTGAATAACGCACTACAACATGGCTGTGAATAACGCACTACAACATGGCTGTGAATAACGCACTACAACATGGCTGTGAATAACGCACTACAACATGGCTGTGAATAACGCACTACAACATGGCTGTGAATAACGCACTACAACATGGCTGTGAATAACGCACTACAACATGGCTGTGAATAACGCACTACAACATGGCTGTGAATAACGCACTACAACATGGCTGTGAATAACGCACTACAACATGGCTGTGAATAACGCACTACAACATGGCTGTGAATAACGCACTACAACATGGCTGTGAATAACGCACTACAACATGGCTGTGAATAACGCACTACAACATGGCTGTGAATAACGCACTACAACATGGCTGTGAATAACGCACTACAACATGGCTGTGAATAACGCACTACAACATGGCTGTGAATAACGCACTACAACATGGCTGTGAATAACGCACTACAACATGGCTGTGAATAACGCACTACAACATGGCTGTGAATAACGCACTACAACATGGCTGTGAATAACGCACTACAACATGGCTGTCTATACCACTGGACTGCTAGGACAGTGGTTGATTTAGCTGACATACCGCTGCTGGTATCAGCTTCCTTTGCCACTACTGTTCTATGACTTTTTTCTGGCTCCGTTTCCGATGCTTTCCACAGGGTGTTCCACACGGTATTTCCAGTTCTTTACAAGTCCTTCCCTCTGCTTATTGTGTATATCCAGGTGTCGTAATCTCTTTCTCTTTCTCTTCCTATCTTTCATCTTCCTGTGTGTGTGTGTGTGTGTGTGTGTGTGTGTGTGTGTGTGTGTGTGTGTGTGTGTGTGTGTGTATGAATGCGTCTGCAGGAGTTGATGTCAGCCCCGTTTCTTGCTCAGCTCAATGACGGTATGATCAACACAGTCAAGTTGCAGCTGTCGCGTGTGTTGGAGGTGGCGCAGGGCATGGAATTCATGCACGCAAAGAACATCATCCATTGTGACCTGGCCGCACGTAATATATCCTCACATTCCTCCCTTGCTGCTGCTTCTGCTGCTGCTGCTGCTGCTGCTGTTGCTGTTGCTCGATATACTAACGTGTATTGTTTGCTGCTGTAGTGGTGGCATTCCTAGTCAGCCTAGGTGGTTGTTGCCGTATGGCGAGGATAACCAGGTTCATATCCCTAGTGTAAGATTTCCGTCTTTTGAACGCCTAGATTTAGCAAAGAACCAGAAAGTGATGGTAAACTGCCCGTAAAGGGATAAAACATGTTGTGCATAAGTAGTGCCAATGACATAATTGATGCCTCACATCTCCTGATCACAGTTTTGCTCCAGTCGGACAAATTCACCGAACTAATTAGTTCTTGACTCTATTGAAATACTGCTGTGTTCTCGCCTAATCGTACAATTGTATAGTCCTTGACTGTGGTCGCTGAATACATCCTGATAGATCGCAAGGGAGGACTGCGCATAGCCGACTTCGGCCTGGCTCGGGAGTGTGAGTCGGGCTCGTGTCCAGCTTCCGTCAACGACCGTGTATTCCCGATCCGCTGGACATCGCCAGAAGTACTAGCCACCGGACAGCGGTCCAAACCAGCCGACATCTGGTGAGTGCTTTAGAGACATGTGCTTGTGTGTGCCTGTGTGTCTGTTACATGCCCCCAACTACTGGTGGTTTCTGTTTAGGGATAGTCGCAAAAGTGTTTGTCGTCCCTGAAACAAACATCTTTCCTTTCGTACCCCCCCCCCCCCCCCCCCCTGAAATGAACGCAGCTTGCTATGTTGGATGACGAAAATCGCATGCATGTACATGTCATATGTACAGTGTCGGTCGACTTGTGATTTTGGCTCCCCCCCCCCCCCCCCCCCCCCGCCGAATGATGTTCGTTTCAGGGGTGACAAAAAAACTGTTGCGACAACCCCTTAGATCAATCAGATAGCTATGGTCTCTGGTAATAAGGCAGCATTGCCTGTGTACTTAATAACAGATTAAAATAAGGTAATACGGCGACAATCTCCAGGCTGCTAGCCAACATTGACCGTGGGGTCTCATCCGGGAGTTGGAGCCGGCCGGAGCTATAAAAGTCTTGTCTGCTGCAGCAAAAATGCGGGATGTGTACCGGTAAAGATTATGCGAATATTCTCCGCTGGGGACACTACATCACACTGATATTGTTGAAGTGGGTTAACCCTTTGTGGACGGACTGTACGAGTTTCGATCTAATAAGATCGAAACTTGAAACGCGGATTTTTCTGGGCGCACCGCACGTTTTCGGCGATATTTTTTACACAAATCGAAAGACGAAATCCATATCTTTCCAATGGTGCTAAATTCGCCGGGGGTCCCTAGTCAAAATGTTAACCAAATCGGCCGCGCAAGAAGAAAAATTGAGAGCTTGCGCGAGCATGCAGAACTAAAATTGCAGTACGAGTACTGTCATGGCACGACGCGGAAACGTCCTCCGCATGGATGCAGACGATGCCATCGGCATGATTCTGAACTGGAACTCTGACGAGGACAGTTCTGACGACCCACTTGACGAGTCTGATGACGACGAGTTCGAAGTGGACAGTGATAGTGATGATGATATCCCAGAAATTCAAGAAAACTATTTATCTGATGGATTTGCTGATACTGCTAGAGAGCGGCGGCGAGGATGATGATGGTGGACAGCTTATCCTATCTACTTTCCGAAAATGTATGGTGTTGTATTGGCTAATGTACAGTCTGTATCGGCTATAGCGTACCCTTTTGATTTCCGTGATTTTATCACTATAACCGATGCATCACTATTGCGATACGATCAATTTCTTTTCTTTTTTCGATCGATACATGAAAGGCAAGGAAATACTTCCAACATGGCGTTTTGACAAATGAGTATGCTGCATAGTTGACAGTGCCCGCATTTCCATAAAAAATTCTGTTATGTACATGTACATGTATCACTATAAAATTAAGCAACGTGAAGAAAGTAAAAAAATAGGGCCTTTGATATTATTGCTACATGTATTTTTTTAAAGTGATCACTATAGCCGATAATAGTATAGTGTGTTCTGCATGTTTTGATTCTTTGTTGCCATCATAATATCCGATATATCATTACATCCGATAATATTGGTTATAGTGATATTTTTACTGGATGAAATACGTTTTGCTTTTGATATTTCGTACCAATATCACTGTAGCCGATATATTCTTATATCCGGTCACTCTATAGCCGATACAGACTGTACACCGATTTCGAGTTATTACTGATTTTCACATGTCGCTTCTTTCCTGTACAAATTTGGCAGTCCATAAAGGGTTAATTTAAAAAAAATGATATCAGAAGTGGGATTATTGTTGAATTGAGGTGGGTATGTGTAAAAAAAGACGTTGATGTCAGAAGTGGGATTCAAACCCACGCCTACAGAAGTAGACTGCGACCTGAACGCAGCGCCTTAGACCACTCGGCCATCCTGACCTGCACAAAGGCCACCCTGGTGGGGCAGTATCCGTCATGCACACAGACTACCCGGTATACCTGGCCTGGTGGGGCAGTACTATAGTCCATTCATCGGAAACTGGCCCGCTGGCTTTTGAAAGTCCGATTTGGGCCGGATTGAGGATCAAAAACCCACTTAAAATATCAAAAATCTGGGTTTTGGATCTGCTTCTCAACACATTTTGCCATGGCATACCTGTCCCAATTTTGTAAAACCTGGCTGAATTTCTATTTCCCTGTTCTTGGACTTTTCTGGCCTCAAATGTGGCTAGGAGTAATTGCACGGGTCACACAATGCAGGATGTACTGTTGTTTTCACGATATCTACAGCTATGTACAGGAGACATCAAAAAGTTAGGGTGCCAGTTTCCAATGAATGGACTGTAGGGAGGTTTAGTCCAACGTAATCCGTGGGTACTTTACGTGTGTGTACCACGTGATACTTGTAGTGGATGCACATCCCACTGTTTGTCATTGTATCCTTTTATGTAACATGTATGCATTCATCCGGCCGCGCTGTGCGACATGCCAGTTGTACCGTACGCACTTTAGCTGTACTTGCCTGCCTGGCTTTTCCTTTGATCTCTCTGCCGTTCTCTGTATTCCCACACACTTGTGATTTGTAGTAACGAAGCTAGTTACAAGATGTCTTTGGTGCGTTTGTAGAACCACTACATGGTGTCAGAAGTGGTTTTCCTGTAGTCTTTGGCCTCGTGAGCGGTGATGGCTCGTTTCAACCCTCCAGCGCCTTTCGACTTCAGCTCACCGGACCAGTGGCCCGCGTGGAAACTCCGTTTCACCCGTTTTCGTGCCGCCACCAAACTGAGTTCCGACCCGGGAGAAACTCAGGTGGCCACTTTGTTGTATGCTCTCGGACCCAACGCCGACTCCTTGTTCGAGTACCAACTCGGACTATCCGAGGACGACAAGAAGAAATATGACGAGGTCGTCAGTGCTTTCGACACGTACTTCCGCCCCTCTACCAATGTTGTTCATGAACGAGCTAAATTTGAACAGCTTGTACAACAACCCGGCCAGACCGTAGAGGAGTTTGTCCGTGCTCTGTACAAAGCTGCAGAGTATTGTGAGTTTGCTGGCACGAAGGATGAGCGTATCAGAGACCGCTTCGTCGCCCACATGCTGGACAAGCGGGTGAGTCGGGAGCTGCAGATGAAAGACAAGAGCGAGCAAACTCTCGCCAAAGTTGTTGCGTTCGCACGGCACGCCGAAACTGTCCAGCAACAGGTTGCAGCCCAATCGCGCAGTGGCTTGGCCGCCGCCAGCTCGATTTCAGACGATGATGCCTCAGCCTCAGCTGTCCAGTCGCACCATGGTGGTCGATCTATGCCGAAGAGCAGACCGCATGGTAGCTACAAATCTGCAGCAACGCCGCCTGCGACCGAATCGAAGTGCCCGAACTGTGGTGGAAGCCACCACTCGCAACGCGATCAGTGCCCAGCCAGAGGCCAGTGCTGCAAAGCCTGTGGCAAGCGCAACCACTTCGCGCGAGTTTGCCGATCGAAACCGTCCACCTCTGCCGTCACGAACGACTCTCCGGACTCTCTATTTGTTGGCCACACGACGTGCGCACAAAGTGTAAGTGATTCACCCTGGTTGGCAGATCTAGCTATCGGAAAGAGTGTAGTCCAGTTCAAGCTAGATACTGGAGCTGATGTCTCTACCATGTCCGTGCAATCATACAATACACTGCAGCCCAAGCCGTCCTTAGCTGCTACTAGTGCCCAGCTGAGAGGAGCGAATGACCAGACTATGCAGGTCCTGGGTGTATTTGAGGCTCACTGCTCCTTTCAATCTCAGTCCACTACCATACCCATCTTTGTTCTAGATGGTGCCAGCACTAGCCTGCTCAGCCGATCTGCGTGCACAGCACTGGGTCTAGTCCAGCGTCTGGCTGAAGTGCAAGGTCCAGTCCCACTCGTACAGTGTATGGTTGGTCCTGCTGCGCAGATTCACTTAACTTCCGACGCCACACCGTATCACTGCCTGACAGCTCGCAGAGTTCCTCATCACCTGTATTCGAAAGTACGTGAAGAACTGCACCGCATGGAAGATGGCGACATCATTGCGCGTGTCGACGAACCCACAGACTGGTGTTCGCCTATGGTGCCCGTCCTCAAACCTAACGGCAAGGTACGCATCTGTGTCGACCTGAAGCGTCTTAATGCGTCTGTCAAGCGGGAGACATTTCAGCTGCCAACGTTAGAAGATGCCCTGTCTTCACTGGCCGGAGCGACTGTGTTCACGACATTGGACACTGCTAACGGATTCTGGCAAGTCCCACTCAGTCCCGACTCTGCCCGTTTGACCACCTTCATCACGCCGTTCGGCAGGTTCTACTTCAAGCGACTGCCATTCGGCATCACATCAGCACCTGAGATTTTCCAGAAGCGTCTCACCAACCTTCTGGACCAGCTCCCCGGCGTGTTCGTCTACATGGACGATATCATTGTCTCTGGCCGTACGCGAGAAGAACACGACCGTAACCTAGCTGCCGTACTAGACATCCTGCAGAAAGCCAACGTCACGCTGAACATGACGAAATGTCACAAGCGTCAGGCCGAAGTGAAGTTCCTTGGTCACATCTTCTCCGCCAAAGGTCTCCACCCTGACCCAGCGAGAGTGTCCAGCGTCGCTAATCTGAAGCCGCCCAAGAACGTCACGGAACTGAAGCGCATTCTCGGCATGTTCGCGTTCATGTCACGCTTCATTCCCAATCTCTCGGAAGTCAGCGCTCCACTGCGTCTTCTACTGGGGCATGACACCGCATGGGAGTGGTCTGCTACACAACAACAGGCCCTGGACAAGCTCAAACAGCTTGCAACCAATGCGCCCTGCCTCACGTTCTTCGACCCAACCAAGCCCACGGTCATCAGCGCTGATGCCAGCAGTTACGGCTTGGGAGCTGTCCTATTGCAGGAGCATGACGACGGAATGCGCCCCATTGCATTTGCCTCACGCAGCCTCACCACTACTGAGCAACAGTACGCGCAGATCGAGAAGGAGTGCTTGGCTGTTGTCTGGGCTTGTGAGCGATTCCACGGCTACATTTACGGCAACTCATCCCTCACTGTCCAGACGGATCACAAACCACTCATCCCGCT